TCTGTGATGATGGCCCGGTCCCAATAGAGCCTGGCGCGATCATTTTCGAGGTTGTGCCTGTGCAAGTACTCAGAGTTAGAAAGCGCCGAACAACCGGAGATGACATGCCTAAGTGACTCACCGGGATGGCGATAAGATCGACAGATGTCCACGGTGCCATCCTTTAGGATGTATCTCCGATAGTTGTTGGTCTTAATAACCTGATCCTGTATTGCACAGACAAAACCCTCGGTTTCCCCCGAAGAGATCACCAAAGCGTAGCCAGTGGAGGGAGGCTACTGTGTCTACGAAAGGCTCATGTAGAGCCTTGTAGAACCTCCCGTGGAGCTCCTTCTCCTTCCATACGTTCTCCCGGTCGGAAATTGTCTGCACTGCCGGGTCTTGCCATTGCTCGTTGGCTAAGGATAGAGGGGTAAGTCCTTTATCACAAGAAATGACGTCCTTATAGAATGGATCATCCGATCTCGCCAGGAAGTAATTACGGAGGCTGCACACTTCGCGATTATGCATGGTGAGCGCGCTCAAGAAGCCACGCCCACCATGCTTTCGCGGCTAGTATAGCCTCATTACCGACGATCTCGGATGATGCATCCTGTGGGACGTCATGGTAGTGCGGACTTTTCTATCCAGGGCGTTAAGTTCAGTCTGAGTCCACCTGAGTATGCCAAAGGTATACATGAGGACAGGCATGACCCAGCCATTATATGCGTGTGTCTTATTCACACCGGACAAAAGGCTGTTAAGCACTTTGGTCAAGCGTGCATAAAACACGTCGCAAACTGACTGTTTCATACCAGCCTTATCGATACCGATGTTCTGTGACATACCCAGGTATCGGTATGTTTCAGCCTCGGAAAGGGTCCTTAAGTCGACGGGCATAGATAAGTCTATGCCCTCAGAGTTAGCAACCCTCCCCCTTTCAACATAGAGGACCGCACACTTATCCGTTCCCAGCTCCATTCCAATAGAATTGCTAAATTCACAAGTGATGTTTAGCAATTCCATAAGATGGGAGCGACTGGAGGCGAATAACTTGAGGTCATCCATATAGAAAAGGTGGGTCACTTTTGTACCTCCTTTCCGAAGCTGAAATCCCCTCCCGGAGCCCTCCAGTAAAGTACTGAGAGGGTTCAGTGAGAGGCAAAACCTGATTGGACTCAGACAATCGCCCTGGAAGATACCCCTTCTTATCCTTATGTGGTTCTCCGCAGCCATCATCCGCTCGCCCAGATAGCAAAGGATCGTACTGCATTGCCCAATACACTGCTCGAGGAAGTCTCCAACTGTACAGTCAATTTTGTACAGCAATAAATTATTATTATTATAATTATTGGGGGGTATCAATATAGTTTTCTCATCTGGTTGGGTTATATAAATATATAATTATAAATGGAAATGAAAAGATAAATATACATAAATATCAATAAAATTAAATAAAATAAAAATACTTAAATAAATAAAAGCCCAACCAGATGGAGGCCCTCGGCAGGGGAGACCAAACGGCCGAGGGTTTGGGGAAAAGGGAAAGAAACCGGCGGACTATGCGGGCGGTATCGAGGAGCACCGCCTTCTGCATTTGAGCCTGTAGCTGTCCGCCACGTAGTCCCAGCCGCCTCAGAAGACCCAATTAGCCCGTTTGCAGAGACGATTACAGGAATAATTTCGGTCGGCAGACGACCCCACATGTCGGTCACGTCGTGAGCCAGGATTTTGTTCGTTTATCTCTTTTCGGTTTTTTCTGGTTGTCGTCATACGGAATGGTAATGTCGACCAAAAATATGGACAGAGCACAGTCAAGGGACTGTGCCCTGTCCATCAGCACAGTATCAGGCTTATTCGCAAGAATAGTCCTGTCTGTGATGATGACCCGGTCCCAATAGAGCCTGGCGCGATCATTTTCGAGCTTCACGGCTTCCGGCAAGTACTTGTAATACGGCAATTTCCGATCCACGAGACCGTATTTCAGAGCAAGCTCCTGGTGAAGAATTCTGGCTACTAGGTTGTGTCTGTGCAAGTACTCAGAGTTAGAAAGCGCCGAACAACCGGAGATGACATGCCTAAGTGACTCACCGGGATGGCGACAAGCTCGACAGATGTCAACGGTGCCATCCTTTAGGATGTATCTCCGATAGTAGTTGGTCTTAATAAACTGATCCTGTATTATACAGACAAAACCCTCGGTTTCCCCGAAGAGGTCACCAAAGCGTAGCCAGTGGAGGGAGGGTACTGTGTCTACGAAAGGCTCATGTAGAGCCTTGTAGAATCTCCCGTGGAGCTCCTTCTCCTTCCATACGGTCTCCCGGTCGGAAATGATCTGCACTGCCGGGTCTTGCCATTGCTCGTTGGCTAAGGATAGAGGGGTAAGTCCTTTATCACAAGAAATGACGTCCTTATAGAATGGATCATCCGATCTTGCCAGGAAGTAATCACGGAGGCTGCACACTTCGCGATTATGCATGGTGAGCGCGCTCAGGAAGCCACGCCCACCATGCTTTCGCGGCAAGTACAGCCTCATTACCGACGATCTCGGATGATGCATCCTGTGGGACGTCATGGTAGTGCGGACTTTTCTATCCAGGGCGTTAAGTTCAGTCTGAGTCCACCTGAGTATGCCAAAGGTATACATGAGGACAGGCATGACCCAGCCGTTATATGCGTGTGCCTTATTCACACCGGACAAAAGGCTGTTAAGCACTTTGGTCAAGCGTGCATAAAACATGTCGCAAACTGACTGTTTCATACCAGCCTCATCGATACCGATGTTCTGTGACATACCCAGGTATCGGTATGTTTCAGCCTCGGAAAGGGTTCTTAAGTTGACGGGCATAGATAAGTCTATGCCCTTAGAGTTAGTAACCCTTCCCCTTTCAACATGAAGGACCGCACACTTATCCGTCCCCAGCTCCATTCCAATGGAATTGCTAAATTCACAAGTGATGTTTAGCAATTCCGTAAGATGGGAGCGACTGGAGGCGAATAACTTGAGGTCATCCATATAGAAAAGGTGGGTCTCTTTTGTCCCTCCATTCCGTAGCTGAAATCCCCTCCCGGAGCCCTCCAGTAAGGTACTGAGAAGGTTCAGAGAGAGGCAGAACCAGATTCGACTCAGAGAATCGCCCTGGAAGATACCCCTTCTTATCCTTATGTGGTTCTCCGCAGTCATCATCCGCTCGCCCAGATGACAAAGGATCGTACTCCACTGCCCCATACACTGCTCAAGGAAGTCTCTAACTGTACAGTCTATCTTGTACAGCTCGAGGACTCTCTTTAGCCATGTATGGGGCACCGAGTCGAATGCTTTTCTGTAGTCTATCCAGGCGGCGGAGAAGTTCCGACGGTTGCGTTTCACCACTTTGCCAATGACCGCGTCAATCAGGAGTGGTTCCTTGGTTCCACGACCTCCGCCCCGACATCCATTTTGAGCGCGCGCTTCACCTGATTTGAGTCCAGTTGACGGGTGATTCTCGCGCTCAAAATGGATGTTAGTGTCTTGTATATGGTCGGTAGACACGTGATGGGGCGGTATTTGCTCGGGTCTGTGGTACCCTGGTCTTTAGGAACTAAATGGGTGATCCCAGTAGTGAAGAGGCTCGGGAGCGACTTCTGGTTGAGAGCCTCTTGAAACTGTCGGGCAAGCACAGTGTGACACACCACGAACCCCTCCAGCCAGTAGTAATGCAGCCCGTCGAATTCCGGACTTTTTCAGTTCGGAGCCCTACGGACCGCCTCAGCTACGTCATCCGGTGTTATAATGACAGGGTCCATGGGCGTTATACTCACACACTGACTCGCCACAACTTCCTTCCAAGGGCCCTCGCTGTGGTTTACGGGCTCTGACCACAGGCCGCGCCTGAATGCTACAGTGTCGACCTGATGCGGTGCTGGGCCTATTCCACTTACCATTGGTCGCTCCAATGATTCATAGAGCCTCTTCTGATCACTCTGGAAGAGACGATTCTGGTTGAACCGTGTCGACCTCTCGGTATATTGCCGAATCCGCTTTCCCCAAGCAGCGATCTCTGCTTCAGATCATCTATGCGCTCCATCAGTTTTTGCGTTATATCCGGCTGGGACAAACTGACATTTATCCCAGCAAACGCCATCCTGACGGTGCGCACAATTCTTGGCCTGTTATTGCCTGATCTGAAGCATATCAGTCTGCCGATGAGAGCTCTAGTCTTTGCGATACGTTCCTCAATTCTTCTTCTCCATGCTGGGGTAGCGCTACTTTGGCCAGTAGCGCGTCCAGCCGTGGAAACCTTGGCGCCTATGATACAGCAGACTGCCAGTGCGGTGCCAAAAAGACTTGAGTCCGTCTCGCAAAGGTCCCGGCTGGCTTCCAAATAGGTTACCAGCATTGGGTTCAGCGCCCTCACGACAGCCCGATTCCGCTTGCTTAGGGCTATGCGGGGAAGTCGCGGTCGATTTTCGAGAGGCGTACTGCGCGTTTCCACAATCGCCTCTTCCAATGTACTCCTCATATGCCCTAATTCCAGTTCCTGGGCGACTGTTCCATCATCGTTTGAATAAACCACAACTGGGGTATTCACGGCGGCATCCACGTTTGCGGGTTGCTCTACAATTTGTGGCGCCGCATCCTCAGTCGTAGCATTTTCCTCCGATGAGGGAACAGCCCCACGTCGTAGCCGTTCGAGTTCGGCGACATCAAATATATTTGAGCGCAAGATATACCGAACTCGGTCTGCCAGTTTTTGCTCTGTGACGGTTAAGGATGGCAGTGCGTTTGCGTTCATTGTTTGTGACCAACGCATGCGACGTGCTCCACCAGCGGCGGGTGCCGCTTGCTGAGTCCGAGAAGACCCAGCCGACACTAAGCCTTCTGGTGGGGATGATGGATGCGGAGGGCTGCTAGGTGACCATGCAGCTCCTCGCGCTCGGCTGGCGGCCCGCATGCTGCCGCGTCCAGCGCCAGCTCCAGACGCACCCCGGCGCCCCCAGGCAGCGGCCCTATGCGCGTTTCTTTTTTTGCCATCATCCATTTTATGGACGCCAAATAACGGGAGACGCCCAAGCGGCACCGTTTCGTGGTTCGGTCATATGCACAAACGGACCTTTGCACCCACAATTTTGCCTAGGCACGGTGCTCACACCTCTTGGCAGGGTGCTGACTGACTGCGCCGACGTAGCAGTTTTGTCACATAACTGTTACGTCAGCGGGCGATGAGGTCGTCACTTCCCTACGCCTTTTTATTATTATTATTAATAATTTTGTCCATATTTCTGACACTATTATCGTTCTCCTGTTCTCTAACCTCCATGCTTTTAACTGTGATAGTCACATCTAGGGATGTCGATCCTTTCTTAAAAAGATAGATTTTCAAATCGAATCGAATCGAAATCTGATTAATCGATTCACAAAAAAATCGAGGTCTAAAAGATTGATCTTTTTTCGATTTGCTTTCAGATTATAAATTTACAAGATCAAAAGATACAACAAAGTACAGATTAGAAACGCAGCTTATTTTTTATTTCTTTAAAACATCAATAAGAGGCGAAAGAAACAGCACACAGTAGTTTTCCGAGAAAACTGCCATTCTTTACGAGTTTGGTCATTGCCATTCATTACAGCCTTTCAAGTCCACTGCTGAGCATAGACCTCCCCCAAGTAATGCCACAAAGCACGGTCCTGAGCCATCTGTATCTATCGACTTCCTGCATGTAATACCACGTCGTCACTCCATTTAGTGGGGGTTCGCCCTACACTACGCCTACAGGTACGAGGGGCCCATTGCCACTTCAGCTTACTAATCCGTTGGGCTATGTCGGTCACTCTGGTTCTACTGCGGATATCCTCATTTATGAGTTTATCACGCAGAGTTTAGGTACATACAACTAATTGTAAATAACTTTATAGTTCTTATAAAAACAGAAAAAGATTCAAGCTTGATTTTCTTGATTGCTTGATTTAGGTGTGAAATATTGATTCGCTGGATCGATTCAGTACTTTACATCAATTTAAAAATGAGATTTTTGGCAAAAGAAATCGAAATCGAAATTGATGTCAGATCGACATGCCTCGCGTCCTTTTTTTATGAGTTTCTTTACAGTGTGTAGCACTCAGGGACGACACAACACTTAAAAGACATTTTTAGTCAATAATAATACTCACAGTGGTTAGTGACCCGTTCGAAATTACGAGCGAAATAGTAAGTTCCCATTGAACGGCAACGGGAGTGATGACATCACCGCGCTTTGTCACCGGATTTTGACGATAGAACTGGGACAACTGGAGTCGCGCACTTTAGCGCTTTTTTCATGTGGTATGTATGAATGTAATTATTTTAAGGGTAATTTTAACGTATCTAGCTAGCGCTTTTTGTACCTTCGTTAGTGCTGAGTGGGATTTTTGATCTCTCAGGACTAATAAACATAGGTGCCAAGCCAGGAGATTTTGCGCCTTTTAGGTTATCTCGAAGGGTATTGTTGCGACTACAACTTACGGTTAAAAATTGCAGTGACTAAAACTTGCGGCGACTAAAACTTGCGGTTGATGACTGGTCGCAATTTAGACTATGTCGAAAAATAAAACGAGAGAGACTTTTACATATATTCAAAATTAATCTCTCGCTTTAAAAATAATATTTTGTCAAAGAGAAATATCACAGTAAACTTGATTTAAAGGTATTCGAAAATGTAGTGTCTTAGAAACCAAGACAAATAGATGTATTTTGCATTTTTTGCCCTCGCCGCCACCGGGTTTTCCGCTCCCATTCCCTGTCCTCTGTTTGTTTTACACGTTGTGCAACAAGATGCAGTTGCTAACTGCTATAATCTTCCACCCCTGCTACTGGTCTCTCTAGCTCATCATTAAGAAATGATCATGATTATCGAGGCACTTTAGAAGAGGTTCTTTTATTGGCAAATGACGAATAAATCACTTTCTTCTACTTCCATGATCTCTTTATTTGTAAGTAAAATAAATTGTGAAATATCAATAATAATAAACAGACATAACATTTTTTTTTAAATTTGACTTTTTCCATTACAATAAACTGCTTTAAATATTATCCTGTTGAAATTAAAGATAAGGTTGATTAAGGTAGGTCTTTGTTTAAAAATAGCCTTTATAGGCTACCTTACATTACAGTATGTGATTTTAGTTTACTTTACAAAAAAAAAAATTAAGCGATTTTAGGCTACTTGGCAAATTGGACTGTTTCAGTTTATATAATTTGTACAAAGGTACTCTGTGGTCTAGACCCCGTCAGGGTAAAGGTAAACGTTTTCTGTTGTTTAGACTTGGTAACACGATTCGAATCAAACATACTAGAATCGATTATCGATTAATTCGAGGATTAAAAGATCGATTTTCGATTAATCGCGACGTTTTCAAACATATTCAATTCACAAGACAATTTCAAACAAGAAGTTTAACTTTTATAATTACATTTACCTTAAGATTAATTTATAATTACAGATGATTTTTTCCAGACTTCGATAGGCCGTCAGCTTGATTTGATAAAACTAGTAAATGCTTAATAATTCCATCAATATTTTGTCGCCATTATCCTTTGATTTACTCTCAAGGTAGAATATACATTAGACGCTAGATGGCATGATTTTATGAAATTATGGGTTAGTTAATTAACATGGACGTGTAAAATAAAGCGGACTGAATTTTGATGAGAAAAGACCAATGCCTTACAATAACGGCTAGCCAGTCTTTCTGTATATATTACTCTACTCTATGAGCCAGTCTTTGTTCCACATTCCACAGGGATGCGTTCATAAATATTTATTTTATTCAAATATATATTGCGTTCAATTTATCAACCAAGTACGACCGATTATTTTTGTGTCCGCCAACAGCAAAAATTTTTTAAAACTGCGGTATCTTACCCTATTCAGTTTAAGAACTTTATCACTAGTTCTTGAATCAGATGAATCAGTCAGATTCGAGAGGTTTTTGGGTCGATTCATCGAATCGATGCGGTGTTCCAAATCGGTTTAAAAATCGATTATTTTACCCCAGACAATCGATTTTTCGATTAAGCGATTTTATATTGACATGCCTAATTAACGGGAGTTTTCAATGGTGGATTAATCAAATCATTGCTTGTGTATTAGTTAAAATTTCTAATTAAGTAAAATTAATATACACAATATTTTCAGTTTTACCTTGTTAAAAATTATTGTACTATTATATATTACTGTAAGAAAATGAGTACTGCCACCACAACACCGCTTTTCGCTTGCTCTCGTTGTTTCTCAAGACATCCTTTTGAAGAATTATCTCCAGGCGAACAGCTATGTAAAGTAGGTGTTATGTATGTAGCTAGCAAAGCTGCATTAAAAATTACACCCCTTATATTTGTTTCATAAAATACGTTTATTGTTATTTGACGTCATAATATGACGCAGACTTCTCTTTATTTTTCAGGAATGTCGCGGATCTTTTCCTGTTGTCAAGTGTACGTATTGTCGTTCCGAATTTCAACAAACAAGGTCAGTGCCAACTGTTTAGCCAAGGAAAGAAAATATTACTTAATTAGCATTAACAAGCTTTCCTATGCCACACTCATATGTCTTAAAATAATTTCGCAACCAAATAATTCTTGTATTACTGTTGGTGTAGTTGGCACTCAAGTTTTAACAAGATAAAAAATATTGGCAACTAGGTGTTTTTGAGGAGAATTGGGAAGAGATATTCAAAGAATTTACCAAGTTTAGTATTTGTAATATACTGTTTACTTGACTCTATGGCTTGTTTAGAATCCAGCTTCAGTTTTAAGAAAGAGGAATTAACCTCAAATTTATGATTGAAACAGACCTGGTTTTTTTATGAAGTATAACTAACCCTTTTACCTTTGTATAACAAACCACAAACACCTGAATACTTCGATCTGATTATTTATTATTAAAGCTTTCTACATCATTAGTAAGTTTATTTGGCAAAATAAAACTTATAATATTGTTATACAATTTAATGTTTTAATAAACTACACCAAATTATTTCTCAAACCTTTAAGCATTAATTTTATATCACATGTTGCAAACAACAGCAACAGGTTGCGACATATTTGACTTTATTGTATTTTTTTTATAGGATAAGGGTGACAAACAATCACACAACTTACATGCCATCATGTAGGCTGTGTGATTGTTTGTCACTCTAAGTAGTTGTTGTGGCCTATAGACATTGGCATCTATTCTCAACTGTGAATCAAAATGCAGATGCGTTGTCACCCCTGAGGACTAGGATGGAATGCCTCGTTTCCAGTAAACAGGATCTCCAGCTCTTTACACTGACCATACAAAAGACAGCAGCGTTGAGCTATCTCGTTTCATCGAGTTTCAAATTACAATGATTCTAAACAGTTTTCTTTTCAATAAAATATAAAATAAAATCGAATCATAATCGATAATGATGGTAATCGATTCTATGTAACACTTTTTAATTTGTGGTAATTGTAACCGCGCAATATGCATGTTGGCATCTCTAGTTCTATTGCCCACCCTCCCACATCTCTTGTTACCATTTTGTTCCTAAAAACTGTATCTGGGCAGCCTCGTGCGACTAACTTTAGCCTGGCCAAGTTAGATTGCACAAGCAATATTTTTTCATTAGTCACTTTTGCTGTGTGGTTGAGCTGTATTGCTGCTGTATGGGTGCTTGTTTCTTTAGCTTTAATTCTAAACTCCTGATGTTTATGTAAATGTGAAAATCTGATGTACATAGGCATACTTTACATTCCCCCTGATAACATCCTGCAGCCATATTTAATAATTTTTTTATGAAACAAATGACAAATGAACATACATTATATTAGTTTTAAATACAGATTGTATGAGTTTTCAAGATTCCTTTGCCGCGCCGTCAGTACTTGGTTGTGCCCTTTCATGTGCACTGTGGCACAGTAATATTTCTTGTGCAGTTGATTGTTTTATCGTCATCACTTTTATTGTGTTCTTTTTTCCTTTAATGGTTAAATATCTTACAGCAAGTCAAACACATCATCCATTTGTAAAAAATGTGAGG